TTGTAGCTTGAGTGCCCATCTTATTAACCTTGGGGATAAGTTTTTCCCCTGAGTACAATCTAGTTACCGCCGCATGATCAGAATACACTGTTATTGGCGCCCTTTCCAAAATAGACTCGGAACTTTTGCACTGCTAACAGAACTGCAAGTGCCTCTCTCTCTCAGTCGCGGAATAATTTCTTTGTGTTTTGATTTAAAGTTCGACTAAAAAATGCCACGGGCTGCTGATTTTGCGAAAGTACCGCTCCTACCGCATAATCCGAAGCATCCGCTGAAATTTCTAAATTCTCATCCTTTTCAGGAAATTTCAAAACAGGGGCTTGCGTTAATGCTTGCTTTTAATTTTTTCGAAAGCACTATTGGCTTCGGCCGTCCACGAGAATCTTGCCTTTTTCCTTTTTAATTTTAACAATGGTTCAGCAATAGCTGCAAAATCTTTTATAAAGGACCTATAATATGAACAAAGTCCTAGAAAAGAAGAGAGCTTCTTCGCCGTATTTGGCGGCGGATACTTTTGCACAGCGATTATTTTTGATTCGTCTGTCTCGATTCCTTTCTGAGATATTTTGTAACCTAAGTATTTTAATTCAGGGGCTGCAAATTTGCACTTTTCGACATTAACTTTTAGACCGGCCTCATTTAATAATGAAAACACCTGTCTTAAATCCTGTACATGTTGGTCCAGATTATCACTAGTAATAATGATATCGTCTAAATAGATAAATGTGGACTTTCCAAGAACAGGCCTTAGCACAATGTCCATACATCGCTGAAATGTTGCCGGTGCCCCTGAAAGGCCAAACGGCATACGCAAGAATGCATATGTGCCAGACTTGGTTATAAAAGCAGTCTTAGGCACGTCTTCCGGTCTAACCCCTATTTGAAAATAACCAGTCGTTAAGTCTAAAGTAGTCATATATTTGGTAGAAGTTATGTTCCTTAGAATTTCTTCAATAATAGGTAACGGATATACCGGATATTTAGTCATGGAGTTTAATTTACGATAGTCAATTGCAAAACGCCACCTTTTTGGATGTGTTAATGGATAGTCATTATTTTTCTTACATAAACCAACCGGGCTAGCATAACTACTTGAGATGGGCGTTATGATCTTTTTACGTAACATATCTCTAATGTGCCACTTCTATAATTTTTTTTCTTTATTCTTATCATACCGGTATGGTTTGTGGCGAACTGGCATTGAATCTCCGGTGTCGAATACTATGGTTAGTAACTTGAGTAAATCCTGGAATATCACTAAATAACGAAGCAAATTCACTTACCACTTGTCGGATTTTTTTGTTGCTCTTCCTTAGGCAGGTGGTCAAGGTTTAACATCGGCGGTTCTGTTTTTTTTCTTCTCGAACTGGTTTCATCGTCAGCTTAAGGGACGCTTCATTAAAATCCAGCGTTGCTTCTTCTGCCTCTGAAAGAAAATCTATCCCTAAGATGAATATGTGCTTGCAGATTCTTTACTATAAAAAACATAATCCTTTACTTGTTCGTCCTTGATACGAACGTATATAGCGGTAATTTACCTATGCACTTGCATCTTTCTCCCTTGCGCAGCTAACACTGTCGTATTATCCGAATTATATATGCGGTATTTACGAAAATACTTCCTAAAAAAATCTTCTGCCACACAGGAACACTGCGCGCCTGTATCCAGGAGTGCGGTGGCTGGGATGTTATTCACCAACACTTCAATCTTCGGAAGAGTCAAATTTTTCACCATTACTGTATTTAACTTGAAGGAAGAGGGGTTTTTCTTGGCCTTCGGATTTCCGCACCCTCCCGTCAGCAGAAATCCGTTTTAGTTTAAATCTTTTTTTTTTTTTTTCCTTTCCATGCTTTCCTTCCTTCTTTTTCCACTGGCCTTCAGACTTTTTTTCCTGGATTGCTATTGAACTGTCGACGTTCGCCGGCTGTTTTTGGATGCTCGGGTTTCCTTGCCCACTGATTCGCTTTGCTTCCGTAGCCGTGTGCTTGACTTTGCTGTGGTCTTGGCGCACCAAATTGGTTTCGTTGTTGATATTGGCGTCTTCTTTCAATGTCCGCCGTTCTTCTACTTTCAAACTGGATTGCTAGCTCAAATAACTTTTCCAGTGTAGTAGTCGGATTCCTTAATTCAATAAAGTCTTGTACTTGGGGAAGTAACCTCGGCAAAATCACTTGAATTATCTCAGGATCCGGACGGTTTCCATACAAGAGTTTGAAGACGTGAATTTTTCTTAAAATAAAGCTTGAGAAGATTTTCGATTCGTTTGCTGATATATGCTGAAAAGTTCCGTTTCTAATTTCGCACGATCCCTTACGACAGGGAAGGCTTTTACTAAGGGCAGTCTTGAAAATTTTCGTAAGTATAGGTGGGACTTCCCGCTTGACCCAAGAGACTTCTGCCTATACATTTGAACGAATTAAGCGCTTGGCCCCTCAAAGCGCTGGTAGCTAAGGTGACTTTCTGGAACTCATGCACGGGATACAGCATGAAGTGGTCATCCAATTTTTCCAAAAAACTGGTTACCGGTGAGTTTCCATTAAATGTTGCTTCTGGTTTCATCGATGCGCGCATGGTCTGGACGATGTAACCAAATCCTTCCAGGGCGGCAGCTGGTATTTCTGGATTCTGAGCCGCTTCTGCAGGCAGCACAGGTTCTTCTTCTTGAAACTCGGCCATGGTTATTCTTCTTCGTCGGGCGCCACTATCAGGTTCAATGGTTTCCTCTTTACTTGCTTTGGGAACATGAACTGTCCTGACTCGGAACAGGGAGCTTACTAAAGCTATGTTCAATAAATGTGGGAAGTAGACAATACACACAGGAAGGGTATACGAAACCCTTTATTTTTCTCTCTTTACAATAATTTCCGGAACTTCGGAATACAGAGACCAACCACTTGTGGTCTGAACGTAAGAATATAAAAATATTAACTAAACTCTAACTAAACTAACTTTGGATAATAACAAAGTGCCTACTCCAAGATTGGCCGTATATTAACAGGAAAGCCGTATGTAGTACAGAGAACTGTTAACACTACGATACGTTTAAAATTATCAAGAGGATTAAACCTCTGGCCTTGAAGGCAACCAGCAACCGAGTAAAACTGCTAAGGCAAGCGGCCTGCTTCTACTAACTCCTTCCTCTCTCTTGCTTGGCAAAAAGCCACAACTTAAGTACTTGGCGTTCGCAAGACAAATTTGCATAAATAAGTTAAAGCTTTTAATTCTGGCCGGAAGTAGAAAATAAGAAGTGATAGTAAAGATTTAAAATAAAATAAACGTTAGTAAAACTTAGTCTTCATGTAAAAAAATGCCCCTACATAAGGCATTCCACAAAATTTACCGGCGTAAGAAGGTTGCCTCGGAAATCTATGCCTTTGACTTCAAAATGGCGCTTTTGTTTTAAAAACATTTCGAGGAGTGCCATGCAGCCAGAGTGACGTCAGCATGCGGGGATGGATGCATCCGTTGACAAGCGATGGCGCACCCGCAAGCCACTTCTACCTCCATTCTGCAGCATGTTCAAGACACTATTGATGTTCCCATATCTACCATAACCATTTGCTATTGATTGGCGGCTAGTGGCCTCCACACATGGCGTCCATTAAGGAGACTGTCCTTTGACCCCAAATTATAGATGCCAATGTCTGCAATAGTGCCGGCCTCGAGTGATGTAGATGACGGAACGGCACAGGGTTGTGTTCTCAGATGAGCCATGCTTTTGTTTCTCCAAGGATAATTGCTACGTACTAAGTGGGGCATCGATATGGAGACAGTTCCAATCCGTCAGCAACTGTGGAACGCCACACCACGCGATAGCACGTCATGTTTTAGTGTGCAGTTGCATATGATTTCAGGTTACCAGTTGGTGTTCAGGGCACTATGGCAGCCTAGTGATGCATGGATAATGAGCTGTGGTCAATACCTACCTTCAGAGAGTTCCCAATGCCCTTTTCAACAGATCACACTCGACCACATATTATTTGTGTCAGCCAATGTGCTGTGCAAGGTATACAGATTTTTCCCTGGCCACTGGTCTCTTCTGATCTCTCACCAATTGAACACAGTTGTGATGTGATTGAACACCATTTGCAGACCCTGCCATTGCTGCGTTCAGAAGACGAATTGTGGCAAATGGTTGATAGGGAAATGAGAGCCATTTCTCAGAACACCATCCATAGTCTCATTGACTCCGTACCTAGATGTGTTGCTTCGTATACCGCTGTCCAAGGTGGTCCTACAACTTACTGAGATGATGCTTTTCTGGCTCTGTATTGTATGCATATCACTTTGAAATACAGATCACGTACTGTTTGTTGCTATCTTTCTCTGTTTGCCGAGTTTCATCACTTTCTGGCCACTCCTTCTCACTGTTGCATTTTCAATGTCAGGTAGTGTATTTCTGATCCAATGAAAAAAAAAAAAAAAAAAAAAAAAACTTAATAATCAATGGAAAAGGACAATTATGAAATTCATGTGAACTATATTTACAAAATGGGCATTACATTGAAATGGATAACTGTTTAATACAATTCAGGACGTCCGGTCGCTTTACTGTAATCTGAAATTTTCATATTGCAATTTTTTTCTAACACCTTCTTGAATTATGTTCAAATCATTACTGTTCTCAATTTCAGTATAGTTGTATGCACAGTAAATAGACATGGTTATGCACAAGATCTTAAAATTCCTCATTAATATTGTAAGCATGCATTACTCAGTACTGTGCATTAACCATTCAAAGTAATTTTATGTGGATGTTTCAATCATATTTTGCAACAAATGTTTTGTTGTACCATTTGTATAATAAATAAAATATATTTCAAACACCATGTATTAGGTTGTTCGGAAGATAATGCAGGTTTTTAACCTATATCTTTAAAGTATCATAACTGAACTCAAAAATTTTATTAATCAAAATAAGCACCAGCCAAATCAATGCATTTTTGGTAACGAAATAAAAGTTTATTTATATAATAAATTTCTATTATATATTCTAAAATAATGTTCTTATATATTAATAAAATAAAGTTCTGGAGTTCTGGATGCGATAAAGTTGGTAAAGGCGTTTTTGGCCGCGTCTAAGTTTCTGAAGCATTTCTTCTGCAGAATGTTATCCAGGTGTTTGAAAAAGTGGTAATCGGTTGGTGAGAGGTCAGGCGAATATGGGAGGAAAGGGAGTGTCTTGTATCTCAATTCGTTCAATTTCTGTAAGGTCAGTTGCACGACATGTGGCCGAGCATCGTCATGGATAAGAACTGGCCCCTTTCTGTTGACCAATGCTGAACACATGCATTGCAATTTTTGGTGCATTTCATTGATTTGCTAACAATACTTATCTGCCGTAATCATTTCACAGAGATTTAGGAAGCTGTGATGGATGAGACCGGCCGCAGACCACCAAACAGTAACCATAGTTTTCTTTTGGTGTAAATTCGGCTATGGAAAATGTTGTGGTGTCTGACCGCGGTCCAACCACTGAGCCGAATGTCGCCAGTTTTTAGAGAGAATCCACTTTTCATCGCACGTAACAATTCGATCAAGATTACTCAGTACAGTGCAAGTTTTTGTTGAGGAGAAGAAGACCAGACGACACTTCAAAATGGCAACTTTTTTTATTTTTGCTCAATTCGTGAGGCACCCACTTATTGAGCTTCTTTTGACTTTCTTATACGATTCAAGTGATCAGAAATCATTGTTTTGCTTATGCCAAGCTTCTCCGCAAGCTCTTGAACAGTTGTGCATGGGTTTGTTTCAACTAAAGTCTTCAAATCGTCATCATCAACAGCTGAAGAGTGTCCACGATGTTCTTGATCTCCCAGGTCAAATTCTCCATGACAAAACTTTTGGTACCACCGTTGAGCTGTAGATTCATTAACACTTTTCTTGCTCCATACTTCGTTGACATTTCAAGCCGTTTGTGCTGCTCTGCGACCTATTTTGTACTCATGAGAGTAAATTTGCCAAAAATTTAAAATAATTTTAGAATAAAATGATTATTATATAAATGTAGAGCAGAAATAAAGCTTCAAAATTATATATAAACCAATGTAATTCAAAATATTTTTGTTGCTAAAAATTTACAGCAAAGATAAACAATTGCAAAAACCTGCATTATTTTCCTGACAACCCGATAATTTTTATGCAGCTGCAAAGTTTCTAGTTCTGCTTTTCATTGTAAATGATTTTCTATGTCCAAACTAAAATTTTATGACAATAATAAAGTTTTATAGTGGTGCAAGGTGGTGATGGCAGTGGATTTTGTGGTGTACAGCTTCTGCTTTAGATAACCCCGCAGGAAATAGTGGAATTAGACTGGAGGATGTGAATGGCCATTAGATATCACTGAATTTGGAGATGAGACATCCCGAAAAGTACTGATGAAGGTTGTCATCGACACTACTGCAGTATGACTGGTGACACTATCCTGCTGCATCCACATGTTCATTAAGCCAAGTTGTCTCATTTTGCGATTCAAAAAATGTTCATGACATTGTGCTGTACCAGTCAGTGGTGACGTGATGATATCATTATGTTCATCTTTTTTTTTAAAAAGGAAATCCATCACACAGGCAAGACTCACTGCAAACCATATGAACATTGGCACTGTACAGTGGTGTTTCATGCAACAGATGCAGATTTTGTCTGCCCAGAGTTGATAGTTTTGTTTATTGACATAACCACCAAGGCAGAAATTAAGCTTTGCCAGCTATGATAATGGGTCGCACAAAGTCATCACATTTGCTGATTAGCCAATCACAGAATATGGTTAGTTGAATCTCAGTCAAATAATTCATGTACCATCTGTAGCATGTACAGATACAGCTGTAAGTTATTTTTAAGGATTCTCCACATATTGGTACATGGAATATGGACTTGATGACACAATTGCCAGGTTGATTCCTTTGGACTTTGATCGTTGACATTAGATGCACATCTGCATTTATAGTCTCATGAAACTTGTGAACAGCATGCAGTATAATCCTTTGGTGGTATAATCTTTTGGTATAATCTTATGGTGCTACCTGTTTGCTAATGTATTTGAAATGCTGTTGCGCGGTGATGATGGAGTTTCCGATACTGAAGAATGCCTCTACAGTGTCAGTTTGGAAAGAAGGTGAGTTTGAAGACCTAGCAAGCACTGGACCGCTACCTCCATAGTGTACGAAGTTTCAGTCACGACTCACATGATGTTGATTCCCTGCAGTGGTGGAAGATACAAGTATCAGTAATTCCTATCATTGCATTTCCTGTTAAGCTATATGAAAAATTGCATGATTGTTAATTTTCGCAGTATTCAAAATATAAATATGGCCCACCCTATATAAGATTGACATGTTATATTTAATTTCATTCAAAAAGTGATTTTTTATGAACAGTAATTTTATTTTAAATTTTCCCGTTTGCTGCTTGAAAAAAAAATGGCGTGCAGAATGAATACTAAAACTTTACATTATAAAATATCCAATTTTATAATGTAAAGTTTTATAAAGTAAGTCTTTTTTAGGTGAAATTTAAATTTTATTTAGTAGCAAAGGTTTAGGTTTTAATGGGTAGCAATGCATTTTTATGAAGAAAAATAACTTATGGCTATATCTGTATGAAGTAGACCTGAACCTCTCTCCTCTGTATTTGCTTGTTGAGCTCAAATCTAAACTTTCTTTTCATAAACTCTTATTTATATAAACTGAATGTGCTGAAAATTTGACAGAAATTTAGGTACTTTTCCGTTTCGCCGGCGCAAATCTCGCCAAGCAGACTTTGTTGCCGACAGCATACAGTATACACATAAAAAATGTTAACAAATGTAAGTTCTAAGAATTTTTTATTTTGAAGGCATAAACATTTTAATATGGTTTAAAATTTTGTAAAAAGCCAATAAATAAAGACAATAAATTTGTAAAAAGACATTAATTTAAGAATTTACTATGCTTTCATTGTTTAACATCCTGATTCGCCGGTTCGTATCACGTGACACCAAGTGATCTTTTCTCACGTAAACTACGCCACAAAAATCTGATTCTCTCAGTAATTATCTACATAAAAACAGATTACATAAATACAGATTAATTTAGATTAAAACATAAATACAGATTAATTTCAAGTTAAATCTTAAATTAAATCTTATGGAATACAAGTTTAATTGCAAGAATTATTTCAATATGTACGAATAGCTTACTCAGAAATTATGTAAAACCGCAGTGCTTTACTTCGCTAGTGTATTCTCATTAGGTTTGATGAATTTAACCCTTGATTTTGCCTTTTCTATATTTTCGCCTTCAAGTGAGTGGTATGATTGCATCCTAATTATTTACCGCGAATGGTCTTAGGGCATAAAATTTAACTAGTAAAAATTCTATGTAATTGTATACCAGTATTGAAAGAAACAATCAATCTGATAAATGGCTGCGACTTGTTTTGAAAATGAAGAGTAAAAGGTTACCAGCAAAGATATTCCATTTGGCATCAGTTGTGCCATTATTGGCAACTTTATCGTTTGCGCCGGCAAAATGGAAAAGTACAGAAATTTATTATGGAAAACGAATTTTCACTTAATTATTCATAGAAATATTTACAAATGCTAAATTTTATTGCTCAAGAGTATCAGTTCTTGGGGTTCTAATGCGTCTAGACAATATTACTAAAATATCTAAGCACAAAGCATCTATTCAAGTATTCAGTGGTTATAAGTTGATGAGAATCATGCAAAACATAATTAAGGTAAAATAACACACCCACCAAATATTAGTTTAGAAGTCAAACAAAAAAACTCAGCTTTATATATGCAAATTTTCACAGGACTAGTTTCGTTGGTTTTACCAAACAATCTGCTTTAGCTACCAAAGTGCAGTGATTATGTACCTCATATTGCTTTTGTACAATGGTATCTTGAAAAAAGTACTGCCATTTCCCTGTTAATGTGTTGTTCACCGATGAGGCATCGTTCACAAGGGAAGAAATATTCAATGCACATAATGCTCATCTCTGGGCAGTAGAGAACTCTCATGCAGCAGGACGTCCTGCAGCGCAGAGTTTGTTTTCAGTTAATGTTTGAGCTGGCATTGTGTGGAGATCACTTCATCATATTTTACCTATTACTTTTTCATCTACTGGTTGTAACTACTTGATCTTTCTGCAACAAGTCATGCCATAAGTCATGATTTCTTTTTATGGGTGCATATGAAGACATTGTTTTATGACACCCTGTTGACAAGATAAAGAAGCTATTGCATGAATTGCTGTAGTTGCCGTGGAAGTTCGAGATAGGCTTGGATTATTTGGAATTCCATGCACTGTAGATGTGAAGCATGCAATGAAGTTAATGGACAAAACTTCAAATACTATCTTTGACTCATTTTACTTTTGTTCATGTAAATTTATTATTAAAATAAATATGAACTTACCTGGCATTTTTTTAATATCTGATGTTTCTATGTGTGCCAGCACGTCAGGAAAGCAATTCCAACCCTGCATTGCTATATGATTCCGAATCATCGGGGTGCACCTTACCCCTGCTAGAAGTTCTGAAATGTTGAACTGAGGCATCCTGCATATAATTGAATAAATACAAAGTAAAAAGCAGTTCAAAACCTGCTACATTTTCATGCAGAAGGCAGCAACAAAGCTTGTTTGTATATATTTTTGATTCTACAATTTTTAACCTGGCTTGCATAGTTTCAAAATTTTTATATTTTTTTATGTGTTAGATTGCATGTATTTACGTGTTTATGTTTTTATTTTTTTTTGCAATATATATATATATATATATATATATATATATATATATACTTATTTTAAGATTTTTCAAAAGGCCCAAAATTTCTAGCTGTGGCACTGATTGACTAATTCTTGTTCTTAGAAAATAGTGTGTATTTTCAGCCCTGAAAACATCTCTTCAATTTTGTATTTAATAATAATTTTATCTGATATTTTAATGCTTTTGAAGTGCAGGCAGGCCGACTCTAAGCATAGATAACAGTGGCAGCTGTGGCACCGATTTTTGGAGGGCACTAGTTAAATTTTTTTTTAAGTGACTTCTAAATAAAAGCATTTATTTTGCTTTGAATTATTAATATTTTTTAATTTTTGTGGGATGCCGGTTGTACCTAGGGTATGAAAATATTAGAGCTAGGTCTGAGTGCAGATATAAAAACATTAAATGAAAATATCTATTATACTTCGGGTACAAAAATATTAGAGCTAGGCCTGAGTGCAGATAGAAAAACATTAAATGGAAATATCTATTTACATTTTCACTTTTATTTATCATTTCAGAATTGCACAGCCTACTAAGAAAAAAGACTGGAGCTATTTTGTTTTTGCTCAAAAATGGCCTCCTGCTGCGTGTTTAGAAGTTCCTCATGGAAAGGTAAAATTATAACACAGACTGGTACTTACCATTTACTACTGATACTTATCATTACTATTATCTGGAACCAAGAGCTAGGATAGGTGCCAATAAATAGAGTTGAACCTCATGTTTTCAGGCACTAATTTAATTATAGTTTTTGTCTATAATTAGACAGTATCTGCTAAATTGGGCCATATTGGGCTTTTACTTCGAAAGAAATTGAGGAATTATTTTTAAAAGTGCCCATTAATGGAATATTCTGCTGTATTTGCCTTCCTGTTGCAGCATTTAGTAACCCGTGGGGATTTCCCCCGGGGTCGCTGGGTAATGTCCCGCCGCGACGGGCTCGCCCGAGCGACTGGCAGGAGCAATTGACGACCGGTGCTGCCTGGTGACGTATCCAGGTGGTGCGCGGCTCTGCTAGAGGGTAATAGTGGAGGTTGAACCTCCACGACGTGCCCGAAGGCAGAGTCGACCTGTAGTGAGCTAGTTCTCGGAACGGGGAAGCCCAAAACCTGTTGTAGCATTTGAAAGACCTTTTTTTTAAACCTCATCTTGATGGTACAGCAGGTAAGCTACAGAATTATAACCCTACAGATGAAAATTTTGAAACCCCAACAGGAGATAAATCTAATTTTGCTGCAAGTATTTTTTTTTTAATCTTCTCAAAAATTATATGTATATATTGCTGGCAATTACTAATTACCAATAATTTAAAAAAGGAAAAAAGGGGGAGATATATTTTTAAAAAAAATCTCAAAGCCTTCAGATTTTATGTTATGTTGAAAGGGGTGTTTCTTTCATTTACAGACATATACACCTTTTGAAAGCATTTGGGTTAGTGCCCCATTGTGCTAAAAATATTTAAAAACAGCATAGCTTTAGAATTTCCAACAGACAGTCTCGTGCACTGGAGGTAAAAATGTTTTATTCTCTGCAGTGTTGTCACTACTCGCTCTGAAATCGGTGAGTGTTTTTATAAAAAAATCTGTTATAAAGTTTTAGGAAACTTGAAATAGGCAATAAAGGGCTTCCAGGTGCCCATATTCCTGTGGAGGATTACATATTGAAAATTTGATGACTCTGGATACCGTTGTTTTTTCACAGTGCAAAAAATATATATACATTCATCATTTCTTCATTGTTTAGTTTCGTTAAATATAATGCAGGGCAATAATATTTAGTGGCAGCAATTTGAAAAATGATTCGGACATTTAAAATGATTCAAAGTAAAATGTCATTGAGTATAATAGCCCATCTAAGCTAACATCCATTTGGAGTTAAAAAAGAAATTGTCTAGTCTGTTGCTATAGGTACTATATTCACAGAATCAAAATTGCATAAAATTTAACTGGTATAGAACTAGTTATTGCATGTGATCCATGTTATAAAAAAGAAATTTTGGTAAAGATTTGGTTGACCCCAGGCATCACTGCTTAGGGTCAACACCAGCATGCATTCAGCATGACATAGATTTGACTCAAGTATTCAACAAACACTGTGTAGAATCAATATCAGCTTAAAATTGAAGCTTCGAGGAAATATTGCATTGTATCATTATTGGCTAACAATTAATATTTGACATGTAGGCATGGTTTATAATTAACAATGGTGTATAACTAAAAGGGTAAGAATTATTAAATTATTAATTTTTAGAGTACCTGTATAGGATTGAAAATGACATCAGATCAAAATTGGTTTTTTAGTTGCTATGTCAGTCATGCAGTGATAGAGAGGCATTCAATCTGGTGTCATACCAGCTGTTGTGCAGTAACTGATTCTGAGACTGCTGCTGAAGTTACCTTGATGTCTACTTTAGTTCCTTGTTCTAGATCAGTATTGTCATTTTCTATTAAGATTAATTATTATTTAGAGTTATTTTTATGCTGGTAATGTTTGTTGTGTAACATTGAGTAACATTAATACATTTCCATATACATTTTAGTGCCATGTTAATGTAATTTTTTGTTTGTGATTTATTATCTCGGGCAAAACATAGTTTATTATAAAATTAGTAGTTGACATTGAATGAACCATAGTCATATTAGAGCTTGAGCTTCTTTTCTTCATTAAACAGAACTTGTTCTGTTAATATTTCTCATCATCCCAAAGATATGACTCTACTTACTTGGTTACTCTACTCCTTGGTGTTCTTCAGGGAGGCTTGTTTGTGTGATCATTTCTGTAGCCTTTTTTTTTTAATATTAAAGAATTATTTGTGCAACCATTGATAAATAATTTTGATTTTACTGTGATTGTAAAGTAGTTTCTGTGGATCTTAGGAAAGCAGTTCTTATTCACTGCTGCTGAAGTTGTTTGAAATTACTGAACTGCTTTTGTATCAAGGCCATTTTGCTCAATATTCTTACTGTTTTAAATTTTGAATTTATTTATTATATTCAATATTATTTTGATCTCTTCCAGGTATTAAATTGCAGTAATGGTTGATTAACATAATTTATTGGAATAATGATTATAAATAATTATATAATTCTGATTATTCTAACAGCCTTAAATGTGTCAAAAGCTTCCTTCAAATGAATAATTTTGATAATTTGAAGCGAGATAATTCAATGTAATTCTTGTGATTCCAACTTATATTGAGCATTAATTTTTTAATTTGTACTTCTTAGGGTTCTCACAGCTGCCATAATATTTATAACTATCTTTACTGCAAAATAGGCAATTTATCTCTTCATACTCTAAAATTATTCCATTATAATATTTTGCAATGCTATAAACTTGTTCCTATTTCTGAAAGAGATATCATTAAAAATTTAGAAATATTAAAAATATTCTTGCCAGTACAACTTGCAGACATTATTTTACTTAATTTAGCTTTCATTAATCACACTGCTGGCTATTAAAATTGTTACTGTAGGAAGGAAAGCAAATAGCGGAATCTTATTTGTTGTACATATATACAGTATGCTAGGGAGGGAGGCATGGTTAAATTTGTAAGTCATTTGGAATACACATAATGCAGAATCCAGTCTACAAAGCTGTCATCTCTAGCAGCATCAGTGTCTGTAATTCTGCTGTGCATCAACTCGAACTGAGCTTGGATGAGAAATATGGTTGCTTCACTTCATGCTGCTTTATGCCAGAGTACATCAGTTGTAGTGGCTGGCAAGTGGGAGTATACTTGTCTTTTGGCAACTCACAATCAGATGTTCTGAGCGGAGGAGAAATCTGGAGAATATGCTGACTAGGGCAACAATAGAACACCCTCTGTATTAAGAAAGGTCAAGAGAGCACAGGCAGTGTGTGGTTGTGCATTATCATGTTGATAAATGGCATCATGCTGGTCTCTAAGATAGGGAACAATAGCAGGCTTTAACATGTCAGAAATGTAATGTTAGTTGTCCACATTACCGGCTGTGTGAACAAGAGGAGAGCAAGATATGTACCCAATTGCAGTCCATACTAGTACGTTAGGTGCTGCACCCATAGGGCAATTATGAATGCTAGCTGTCAGCATTCATTTTTTGTAGTGCCTTTACACATGGATACATCCATCATGATGCTGTATGCAGAACCAAGATTCATTTGAAAAGGCACTTTCTGTGTCCACTGTTGTTATTCATCACACTACTGTAGTTGGGCTTATCTCTGTTGTAGCATTGAGGGAAGCTGCAAGAGTGGTCATTATGCTGACAATCCAGAATACAGCAGGCATCATCACACTGTCCATGCAGACATACACTTGTCTTCTTGCCTGTATTCGAGCTAAGTTCCTGGCTGAGGATATGGGATGTAGCTTTACGATTTTGCAAGGCCATGAAGACAAGTGCCTCTGTTATCTTGGATGGCCATTTTGGACCCATTTATTCTACATTTGTGTCACAGTCATGAGATCCTGACCAACAAGAGCAGCAAAGTTGTGACACGATAAAATACAGTCGTGATAAGTAATGAACCTGCCATGGTTGAATTCCAACTTCTGCTAGTAGAAATTTGTCTCTCTTACATGCAACATAACAGAATCTTTACACAACCAACCAACTGCTATTTCCAAATGAGAAACCTGTTGTGCTCTCTTCCCATTTATTAATTTAATGGCATTACTCGTATATGCTTTGTGTGTTTGTACTGGAATGCTAATCATTTGCATATCCAAGCATGTGGTATCCTTTGTATGAATGTGGTGTTCATTGTATGCCACGTTCATGAAGTAAGGTATGCTTCATTGGGGTGTAAGGACCAATTATATTTTAAATGATGTGTAAATAAGTATAAATATTCCTGTTCTAACAAATTTTATTAAGAGCACAGGCTACTCAATAACACTTCAGATTTGCTTTACCCTTAAACAGGCACGATGCATAAAATGCGCATTTGAAAATTTCGGATAGAAATGCATTAAGATAATATTTGTTATTGCAATAGAATTTCATAAATATTTAATTCTTTAAAATCATGTTTATTAAAAAAATTTAACATGGTACAGTAATAAATTTTAATATATTGTTGCGTGCATATGGATTCGCAAAAGACTGAATGCAAACAGGTCTGATGATAGGTTGATAAAATGTATTTTATCAAAAGAAACATTTCAGAGTTCTGGAATTTTCTACATAAATACTGGTACAGATGTTCACAGTATCACAGAGTATAATCAGTAGTTGCAGTTCAAACTACTAAGAACATTAAATACAATTACATTAAATACATTAAAGAAAAAGCAGAGCTGGAGATATCCCAGTACTCCGAACTCATGCTAATCTAACTTAAAACAACAACTGAGAGCAGATGCTCTTTCCTGCCTTATATAGTTTTCACCCACCCACCGAGATATTTTTAATACGTTCTGCCTCTTGAAATTACTGGAAGGCAATATGAGGTTGAATTATGGTTACAGCTAATATAGTGAACAATTGCATTTATTCAATTAAAATACCTATTATAGTGAGTGATATAGGAACTGGACCCAAAGGTCGCCAAATTCAACAACTTTTGGCAATTTCTCGCCAAATTTGGCAACAAAAATGTGTTGCCAAAATCGTTGCCATCTTGCTGATATCTCGCCCAATTACCGAGATGCCCATTATTTATTCAGCATTAAATAGACATGCCCCTGTATTCTTACTTTTCCTGCATAGCTTGTCTATGTATTTAGGTATTTCATGTTACATTATACAAAAGAAATACAGCTTACATATAATTGCACTAAAATTATATATCTTAAAAAAATTCAGAACAATATTTTAATAATAACCTTTTATATGTTTGCCAATAATAATTTTCTATTTAATATTAACCCTTAACGGTTGACCGATACTCGCTTTTCGTTTGTTTGGATTTAATTAATTACCTCAAACGATTCCCTTTTTGTAAATATGAAAAAGATGGATCAAGGATCAAGGA